CGATCCACCATGAGGCGATCCAATGCGTCTTGAAACCATTTGTTCAGATTCAGCGTCAAATGTAGAGCGCTTGTGGCTTCATCTAGTAGCGGTATCTTTGGTGCCTTCATTATAGCTCTTGCAATTGCCACCCCTTTGCTTCTGTCCGCGGGACAGCTGAATCGTGCTCTCTATTACTCTAAAACTTTCTCGACGTAATTTTGTAATTTCATCAACTAGTCCTAATTTAATTATGCACACAGGAAATATGCACAAATAGAATCGCTTATATACTTTTGATCAAACATACAACTAGGGGACAGTAAACAGACAACAAGCCGTATACATAGTGTGCATGCGTTCCTTGTCTGTTTAGTGTCCATACAGTTCTATTTTTGATCAAAAATTTGTGACTGGTCATCCTTGTGCACAGATTGACAAAGTTTTTATGGAAACTTCTAATGAATTTGTGAACATATGCCAATTATGCTGCAACTATAATTTCACGAAAAAGTGGAAGAAAAAAAATATATAGGGTTCTTTAGATATAGACCATTGCAACTCTTATTTCCTATATAAAAACCCCACCTAATTATAAACATCCAAATAAAACCCAAATTTAAAAGTGATTGTCATGTAGGAAAGTAATTGACCTATTAATACAAAATATTTACAACTTGTACCACAATATTCAAAATAAATCAATAAATATTAATACTCACCTTAATTACAATGAACAAATAATTTATTGCATATTATTACCCCTAACACACACATATATATATACATATAAACGTTTAAATGTATATAGTACTACCATAAGCTCTCTCTCTCTCTATATATATATATATAGTACTACTACATATACGTTCAAATATATATATATATATATATATATATATATATATATATATATAGGGTTAATCTCTGTTTACTACTCTGAATTTTCGTGAGTTTCAACATTTGGTACATGAAGTTTTTTTCATCCCAGAGTCAAACCTCAAGTCTTAATTTTGGGGCAATTTCATACATCCGTTAAGTTTTTCGTTAAAAATTCTGTTAAATGATGATGGGGCGCCCACGTGGACAATAACTGAGCGCCACGTGTCAATATGGGCCCACTTTAATATTAAAAAATACAATAAAAAATTTAATATTAAAAAAAAAAAGTTTCTGGGCCTTAAAGTCTTACCCGTCTTCTACCTCCCCCAACCCCTTGCAACCCACACCCAACCCTTCTGCAACCGGCACTAAACCTCCTCCCTTCTGTCTTCTATGCCATTGTTTTGATCGCCGGCGACCCCTGCAATCCTCGACCCCATTCATCCCCCCTCTCCTCTGCACACCCTGTCATCTCCCGACCTTCCTTTCTCCGACTAATCAATTCCTTGTTGTCCATCACCTTTGCTACAAATACGCACCCCTGTGCCCCACCAAGGGACTTCAACTCGGCCAAGTAGACGGAGCCGAGGTTAAAGGGAGAGTTGCCAGATCAGGATTTGGATCGGATCTTGTAGATTGCGGACCAAAGAGGGTCGGAGGAAGAGGATTGGGGTTGGGACTTGGGGACTACGGAGGCGAAGAGGCGAGCGGAGGAGGAGGCGGAGGGCGGGAGTGTGGATTCGGAGTTGGTTGTGTAGCCAATTGCTCTGAACAGCTCGAATATTCCCATTCTCTCTCTTTAGGGTTTTCTGAAACTTGTTGAAAGACAATAAATAGAAGAGACAGAGAAGAAAATGGAGACGCCAAGCAACGAGGAGAGGGACTGAGACGGGGAAGGAGGGTTTAGGCCTAGAAACTTGGTGTGGTGGTGGAGGTGAAGCTCCGGCTTTGGAAAGAAGGGAGGGAGGAGGTCGGGGGTTGAGGCCTATAAACTTTTTTTTTTTTTAGTATTTTTTAATATTAAAGTGGGCCCATATTGACACATGGCGTTCAGTTGTTGTCCACGTGCGTCACGTCATCAGTTAACAGAAGTTCTAACGGAAAACTTAACGGATGTATGAAACTGTCTCAAAATTAAGACTTGGGGTACGACTCTGGGATGAAAAAAACTTCATGTACCAAATCCTTCGTTTTTGTTGCGCAAAATAATCTCCCGCGGGATCGTGTCTTTAATTTTCTTGGCTATTTTGTTTGGAGTCCCTCTTTTCACAAAATTGGTGCACATCTGTAAAGGTTTCTATGCTTTTTCCGACCAAAATCAGGCTAACCGGACCTCGCCGTTATCACCAATCGGCTTCCTTTCATCTCTGGAGCAAAAACCACTATTTGCATGCCTGGATCATTACGATTTAGGTGAATCATAGTAAGTTGCTGTCCAGTTTTTATGGCGAGGGTTTCCGAGTTTTTCGTTGAGTTTCTTATTTTATTTTTTGTTGTTTTAAGGAACTAGAGCCTTTCCATGCTCGAGCTCCACAAGTATGGCATTGCTCTTTTTACATGTTTTTGCTTTGATTCCTGTTTTTTCCAAGGCTGGTGTGGCGATTCTCTGTGAGGATTGCAACGGGAGAGGGTGGTTGCTCTGTGGTTTTAGAATTGGTCCTACGCCGGTGTTCGGAAATGTTTCCTCAAATGCAGTTGGGGATGAACATGGATCTCCTACCATTCAAGAAATAAGGGTAGAAAATCTGTTTCCGGGTGAAGCTTCCATACCTAGGGCTACAGGATGAAACAAGGCCCAAAAATTGAAGAAAAGGGTAAGGTAAATGATGATTACGCCTTTCAATAGGAAATGGTGTCCTCATTGCGATTAATGACGGAACAAAATATCTTTGCCACAGAAGAAAGGAACCGTAGGCACGAAGAACGGGCAAAACAAATACAAGAAGAGATAGACGATAGGAACATGCAAAGGAACACTTCGGATTACACTCCAATGAGTAAGGCATATTTTGATAGGAAAAAGAGGGAAATTATGGCCCAACGGGAGTTATTTACATTCGACTATACTCCTACAATGACGCGTGAAGATGATGATTATAGTCTTTAAATTGAAGTTGTTGTAGTCTTAATATTTAAGTTGTAGTTTTTAAATTTAAGTTGTAATTTTTAAATTAAAGTTGTTGTAGCCTTTAAATTGAAGTTGTAGTTTTTAAAATGAAGTAGTTGAATCTTTAAATTGAAGTTGTAGTTTTTAGTATGTCTGAAAACCTTATTTTAATAAGGTAGTTTAATTTAAGTAACCATATTAATTCAATTAAAATAATAAATTACGTTTAGCCTATGGCCCTTTGGTCCCTTGGTTGTAGATGATTTTTTGTCACAGGACTATGTTTGGCCTATGACCCTTTGACCTCTTCGTTTGGAGATAGTATGAAATATGACATGACACTGCTCATTAAATTATAATTTCTTTGAGGGCTATAGGGCTAAAGGGGGCCATCTGGCTCTCCTTTGGTTGAAGATGACCTTAGTGCAAAAATATCGATGTATTAAAAAAAAAATTGAAGGAGAGAGGAAGAGAGTGAGAGAGAATGTGGGAGTGAGGAGAGAGGGAGAGAGGTTGTTTTTTTATTTTTTTTATTTTTTTTAAATTAGAGATGATAAATTTACATGTAGGTGAAATAGCAAAATTTTGTTTTGTGAAATTACGTTACTGTCCTTAACTTTTTTTGTTGTGAAAGAAGACAAATACGTCTTTACACCCTCTTTTGGTTAATAAAAAGGGTTTCATTAATGTAGTTTTAGATTATGTAATTGTTATTTATTATTATTATTGTTGTATGATAGAAGACTACTTTACTCCCTATGATTTTATTTGTGATAGAAGACTAAATTGTTTTTCACCCTCTTTTGGTTGGATTTCATGTTTTCCTCATCTCCTCTGACACTCTCTATTTGTTTTCCCAACAAAAAATCCTAAGCCCTCTCGTGATTTCGTCCCTCTCATCTTGTCGGCAACTTCATCAATGTTTCTCCTGCTTTCAACAACTAAAAGTGTATTAGCCGTTAAATTTAATTTCCAAAATTATTACTTCTATTTTCAATCTCCTTGAAAAATAATTACAACATGATATGAAAAATATAATAAGTGTAACATTCTCGTGAATTGATATTTGACATTCGACATAAAAGTGACAGAGTTAAAGTTGGTTCGAGTTTCTTTTGTAGCATGTGGGCGTTTTTGGGTATTCCGATAAGAGGCAAGCAATCAGTATTATTTCGAGGCAATTCGCGTGCACCTCTTGTTGCCAAACAGTCGAGAAGATTTCGTTCAATTGGTGGATGTTGTGTGTTGAAACTTGAAACCATTTGGACGTTAAAATTGATGCAATTAAGGATGGAGTTAGAAATTTTTTTTGGTGGAGGCAGGTTTAAAAACAACTAAGAAAATCTTATTATAGTATGGTTTATGATAATAGGTATGATTTCAAATGATGATGTATCACAATTATAATGTTAAAAAATGTCAATATAGTAGCAGAAAGTGGCAAAGTGATTGGAAAAATATTAATACAGGATAGGGAGAAGAGGGGTTTTTCGGTTTGAATGACAAAACAAAAGTACTTTTGCTCATATAATATTTGATATTGAGTATAAGTAGTATGATACATATACATTTTTAAATAATAACGCGTGTATATTATATAACTGTAATTTGTAACTAAATAGATGAATTACTTGAGTAGGGTATCTACCCCAGTAAACCTTCATTCGCTTCGTCCATGGATGCAATCATGCATGCAACCACCCAGTTGGACGTTAAAGTTGATGCAATCATGCAACCACTCGTCAAATTTGAGCCGATCGTAAGGCCTGGTATCCAGTATAGCGAAAGACTCAAAAGTGCCGAAGACTTTGTGGAACGGGAAAAAGGATCTAATAATGTTGTCGAATCTCTCTTGCTCCACGTGAAATTGGATGAACCTTTATCTAATGAGTTTAATTAGAGTAGAAAATTGGAAGTGGATCTTACTTTAAGCGGTTTAGTACATTTAACAATTCACATCAAGTCCTGTGTTCGATTTTTCTTTCCCGAATACCCTTAGTAAATTATATAAAAAAAATTGAAGGGGAAAAACTAATGTAAACAAATCCAACATTATTAAGGGCTGTATTCATAAGTGTTGTATTACACTTCAGATTCCAAGTGAAGCTTTCAGGAAAGAAGAAAAAAATGGAAACATGCCTCTTGCTAATTTACCTCTTTGCAAAGCTCTCTACGATGAGGCACTTGCATGGAGTGCTACCAAAGAAGCATAAATGCCATCCTCGACATTGAGCAAAGTTTCATGCTTTCCTTTCTCTGCAATCACTCCATTTTTCACCACGGCTATTAAATCTGCACTCCTGATCGTGGATAACCGATGAGCAATCACCACCGTGGTTCGATCCACCATGACACGATCCAATGCATCTTGAACTACGCGTTCGGATTCCGCATCAAGCGCACTTGTGGCTTCATCTAGTAGTAAAATCTTTGGGGCCTTCATTATGGCTCTTGCAATTGCCACCCTTTGCTTCTGTCCACCGGACAACTGAACACCCCGCTCTCCTACGGTTGTATCATAACCCTGCATTGTTTTCCAAACTCTATGCATTAATCTCCATCATTCTCAAGATATTTTCGTAATATTTCATCAACTAGTCCTCATTTATGCAAAATCATGGCAAAAGTGAAATACGTACATATACAACCGGTTATATACTTAATCAAAGATAGAACCGGGGGGAAACAAAATAGACAATAAGTTGTATAGTGTGCGTTTATTGACAATTTAGTGTCCCTTCAGTTCTATTTTTTATTAAAATTTTGTGACCAGTCCTATTTGTGCATAGATGGACAAATGTGTTTAAGTTAGTGCCTACCTGTTGTAAACTACTGATGAATTTGTGAGCGTTTGCCAATTCTGCTGCAGCTACAATTTCAGCTTCTGTTGCATCCCCTTCCTTTCCATATGCAATGTTGGCTCGGATTGTGTCATTAAACAATACAGGCTCCTGGCTCACCAGCCCCATTTGCTGTCTCAACCACTTTAACTGTAGCTTTTGGATTTCCATTCCATCTAGTGTAATGTAACCCGAATCAGGATCATAAAATCTCTGCAACAAGGAGACGACTGTTGATTTCCCACTTCCGCTTTCTCCCACCAGAGCAACCGTCTGCATAATGTAAGTCAAAATGTAAGTTCCGGTAACATAAATCAGACTAAGAATTCCAAATCTTTATATTGATTGAAAAGGAGGAGTAAATGTACAAAGCATGCTAGTAAGTTACCTTGCCAGGATGGATGGTCAAGCAAAGATCCTCAAAAATTTTAACGTCAGGTCTGGTTGGATACTTGAAACTCACATGTCGAAATTCAATTTCTCCCTTAACATTTTCCATAGTTTTTCCTGAGTCATCACTGGAGTCTATCTTTGATTTCCGGTCGAGAATTGCAAATATGGAAGCAGCAGAGCATTTTACTTTACTTACATCAGGGGCTAGGGATCCAGACTGAGACACTCCAACAGCTGTTATAGTGAGAGCAAAGAAAACCTGTAAACCAGGACAACAAATGTTAATGGACTGAATCGAATAATGAAGATTTATATCTCAAATAACAAGTATTTATTTAGCAAAGTGCGCATCCTGCAGTTATGTTTCCTGAGCTAGGTAGTAACCTGAAGACTTGTAGCATAACGTAGAAGAACTTACCCGGAAAACATCAGAGACTGTCGTCTTGCCTGCTGCAACTAGTCGGGCACCAGCATAAAAACTACACGCGTACACAGAAAAAAGAAAAAAGAATGATAGCCCAAATCCTATCCCACTGATTAACCCTCGTCTAATCCCTGTCTTAATAGGGCCTTCACATTTTCTCTGGTATAACTCCATCACCTTCTCTTCAGCACAGAAGGAAGCAATTGTTCTAATACTCCCTACAGCATCAGTCGCTACTTGACTTGCCTCCTCGTACATTTTCTGCAACCATTTAGAATTTTCAGTATTGTTAGAAAAGGATTAGTCTTATACATGTTATGTACGCTCACCAGCCACTAGTTGTAAGAACTTGTTTGGTATCAAGGATTGGATTGGATAACTGATTAGGTTCCACGTATATTGAATGAAAACATGGATGATGTTTTGCTCCTGATCACCTAGTGAAGATGGGACTTTCTTGCGCAACTGTGTATCAGGAGTTGCTTGTTCCTCCTATTTTCATAATTGATATTCTTGGCGACGACAGGGTTGGTTTAATCAGACCCCATCTTGTTTCTGTTTGAGTTCTGCTGTTGGTGTTGTCTCTTTCCATCCGAAAAAATGGTTGATGTTTTGAGGTGCACCAGATAGCGGTTGTAAAGTACATATTTTTTATAGTTTGAGATTGGAGAAATACCTTTGCATCTGCACTGAATCCTGTCATGAACTTGACTTGAACGTAACCAGTTACTCCTAACAGCGGAAGCAGAACTAGGATTATAAGAGCGAGTTGCCAATTTGCCACAAAAGCAATCACCAAACCAGCAATTGCCATTGCTAGATTCTCAACAACCAAAGCTAGAGCATCTCCAACCAGCCCTCGCAGAGAAGCTGCATCTGCAGAAAGCCTTGCACCAATTGCACCACTCGAGTGCTCAGGATCGTCAAACCAACTTACTTCCATGTAAACCACCTTCTCAAAGCACAGAGATCGGACTCGTTTTATTAATTTACAACCAGCCACAGCAAAAAGGTACTGTCTTGCGGGAAGTACTATGAAAGATGCCACTCCTAGAACAATGAAGATTAAGGCCCAAAACTTAGAGTCCTTTCGGAGTTCATGAGGTGGCTCAAAGAAGGACTTGATTACACTGGATATCAGTACCCCAAAAGTAGGTAAGATTGCCCCATTGGCTGCTGCGGCTATGGTACCAAGTAATAAAACAGGGATCTCTGGCTTGTTCAAGTAAGCCAGGCGACGAAGTGAAACTTCTGGAGGCGCGCTTGATGATGCTGACTCAGGAATATCAGATCCTGCATGTGCTGTTTCAGGGACACCTACTGCAGACGGCACATCATATGAGACTGAGAAGGAATGACGACTGCTACTTCCTCTTCCAGATGATCCCTTGCTTATGGATCGTAAGTTTGAAAGTCTTTGTCTTGAATGTTTCCGATAATCCATACTTATAATTTCTGGCCTTTCATGATCATTCACAGAAGTTTGTTCTGACACACTGCTCATTTCTTGCAACCTTATAAGCTGGCTATATGCTCCATCAGGGTCCTTGATTAGCTCAGAATGTGGACCTGCTCAGACGAAAAAGATCAGTATGTGCAGTACGATAAATTGTAAGAAAACGTCGAACTATTGGCAGTGAGATTGCAGACCCATATGGTATAATAGGATACCTTTTTCGACAATTGTTCCCCTGTGTATAACAGCAATGGTGTCAGCATCCCTTACTGTGCTCAAACGGTGGGCTACAATGACTGTGGTGCGGTTTACCATAATTTTGTCCAGTGCCTCCTGCACAACTCTCTCAGATTCTGCATCAAGAGCACTTGTGGCTTCATCTAATAGTAGAATTCTTGGGTCTTTCAGAATTGCTCTAGCTATGGCAACTCTCTGCTTTTGGCCCCCAGACAGCTGAGCTCCATGTTCACCAACCATTGTGTCTAGTCCCTGAAAAAAGAATTGAACAAGCAAAATGGTAAAATTTCACCTAGTGGAGTTAAAAATTGACAGCAAATATTCAGCGACGAAACACCCAAACTTAGAGCAACTATAAACAGAATTAACCTGAGGCAGTTTGTCTATGAATTTAGCAGCATTAGCAAGCTCAGAAGCAGCCAGTATTTCTTCATCAGTGGCACCATCCTTCCCGTAGGCAATGTTATCTTTAATGCTAGAGGTAAACAAAACGGGTTCCTGGCTGACAAGGCCTATTTTCTGTCTGATCCATTTCAGCTGGAACTCTTTCAGATTAATACCATCAATAAGAACTTCACCAGCTTGGGGGTCATAAAATCTCTCAATCAAACTGATCACAGTTGATTTACCACTTCCGCTCTCTCCAACCAAAGCAGCAGTTACACCACTAGGTATTGAGAGTGAAAATCCATGGAATACTTGTTCATCTGGTCTCGTAGGATAACTAAAATGAACATCCCTCAGTTCTATGTCTCCACGTATATCATGCAACTGCTTCCCATTAGTATCATAAGCATCTATCTCTGGCTTTCTGTTAATCGTCTCAAACATCTTGTAAGCTGCAGCTTGTCCAGCAGCAAATGCATTCATGGATGGAGATGCTTGCCCAAGAGACCTGAAAATTTATCGCATTAACTTTCATATCTTGATATTCTGAAGCATCACATTATCCAATTTTTGGAGTGAGAAAGGAGGAGGAGGAGAGGAGGAATAGTCTAAGTTTTTTAATATCGCATTCTTGCAACGCAAAGATGATGCCAAATTTATGGAAATGCACTTACATGGAACCAGTCAGCACAGCGAAAATTACATTTATTACTTCTCCTCCTGTATATCCTCTTTCAAGAATCATCTTTCCGCCAAACCATATAGCCAAAGCATAACTACACATCATAACAAGCAATACCGCTCCAATTCCAAATCCAGATGCCAAGCCCTCTTGCACACCAGAATTGTATGCCTTAATTAAGGAGTTGTTGTAATTAGCTATAGCTTGTTTTTCTCCTGTAAAGGATGCAACCTGCATTGGGAACGCCTGTAAGATTTAGTTCTATAAAAAGACAATATTATTATGAAAAATTTATTTTAAAGACAAGTAGGCGTACAGTTCTTATTGAACCAATTGTCTGCTCTACTACAATTGCTGCCTGTGAATAAGCAGTTTGCCCCTGGGATGCCAACTTCGATATAATTATGCCTATGACGGCACCAGAGAGGACGAGAAGGGGAAGAGATGATAGCATGACAAGGGTGAGAAGCCATCCCTTAACAAATGCTATAACAAAGCCTCCGATGAATGTTGCAATTAATTGGATAAAACTTCCTACCTGCCATAAGAAAATGAAACGGAATCAAGATGTTAATTAGAGATAATGACAATAACTGAAGGCTGTTGTGTGGCATGTAAATACCTTTTCGCCCATTGCCGCTTGAATGAGCACGGTATCACCTGACATCCTCCCAACAATTTCCCCAGTGTTCGTTTCTTTATCAAAAAAGCCAACATCTTGCCTTATAATTGTTTTCAAGTATAAACTTCTTATTCGTGAAGCTTGTCTCTCTCCAGTGACCATCCAGCAAGACATTTCTGGCATATAGAAAAAGCTAATTATCTCATTTTCCAATAAGCCAAGTTATTTCCTTAATACCTGCAGGGAGTTCAGTAAAACTTACGTAGAAATGAAAGAGCAGCAGCTGCCACAGCCAAATAAACGAACTTTAGAGCCACCTGAAAAGGATATTAAGTTGGCCTAAATTATTTCCCACTAAACCTAGTAATAATAGTTGCATATAGCACAATTTACAAATATGAGAATTTCTTAATGCAGAAATTTGGTGGAGGGGCAATGATCATATTTAGCAACAAAACTGCAGGCACCAGATAACCGGAAAAAAAAAACAAAAAAAAAGTTCCAATAAGGAAGTTGAGAGCTCAGTTGACATAAAAATTCGGATGGAACTGTATCGAACAATGTACTGCATACGTTGTTCTTTGCTTTCCTTTTATGATATTGCTCGGTTGACTTAATTTCTAGAGATGTTGCACTACCAGAGAGAAGTATTTATCAGGTTTTAGTCACAGAATATTTACCTCGGAAACTGCATCAACCACGCCTTTGGTATTCCCCGCTCCTCCAAAAGAATTAATCACATCTCCAAGGATTATGGTCATGAGAGGCATACAGATCCCATTTCCAATGGCGCTGATTGTACCAACAGACATTAACAGGTAATCCAAGGAATCAGCAAAGGAGAAAAGCTTGTGAAATGGAACCGTTTTGGTGCCATCCTCCTTGCTCTTGCTTGTATCTTGTGCGTTGTTTTCAGAATCCACCACTGCTGAGTTTCCGTTTGATGCTGTCGTGCCCTCCTCCTTGATTACATCTCCATTAACAGGATTTTCCTCAGCCATGTCTTTAACAGTAATAGTTTTAACTTGCTATAATTGACAAGCAGCAGCACTTCCGAACTCTTCTTCTTTTTTCCCTTTTGTTTTCTTGGAAATTCAACACTTCAGAAAGCTTAGTTGCTTTGTTTTACAACACAAGCAACTCAGACAACTTGGATGGTGAGATCAGAGCTGCAGGAGAAACAATTTATGGTTTGAGTAAATTGTACTTAAAAAAACCGCATTAGTTCATGAGCACTAAATTGACTATACAGGACCTCTTGCAACCAAAGTTCTGCAGTTTTGGTAAGCAGTAAAGAATACAAACCCATATACGATTCCGGCATTGAAAACAAAAAATTTGGCCCCATTGAAACAACACAAGTAGTAACTCAATAAATAACGAAGAAGGGTGGTTGTTATTCTGCAGTGAAAGATTATTACAACAGAACTAAACTAATCATTAAAATACTTCACAAAGCATGCAATATAGGGAAGTTAATTCTTCTCAGATTTTCATATGAACAAAAAGAATAACCACCTTAAAAACTACTAGCTTGATGAAACGAGGAATCAAACGAAGGAAGGAAACAAGTGGGCAGCTGCTAACGCATGCTAATTGATAAAGGACTGAAACTTTAAGGAAGAGACAGTTTTACAAACATCAGAGGTGCAACCTTAAGAGTGGTGCAGGAAACATTGTAACTGCGAAAGATGAAGTTTCTTACCAGTTTTTGGGAAATGGGTTGATAAAGTTTTTTGGAATATTCCCCGCTAACCATTGCTTTTTATACATCGCAGCCCTACAGATGAGTCAAACGTTCACATTATGGAGAAGATTAAAGAAAATAGATACTTTTAAACTTAGTTGAATGAAATACAATTCAAGCTCTGACTTTGATTAATTTTTCTTAGTTTTTAGGAAAATTAATGAAAAAAATTTAAAAACTTTAAGTTTTAATGATAAAGATAAAATTAAGAGTAAAGTGAATAATACTAGGATTGATTTTTTAGTGTAAAAATATAATTTTTCGATAAAGTAAACAGTACCGTGAACTTTTCGTTAAAACTTTATTCTTTCTTTTTTTTTTTTTTATTTATTTTTTTTTTTTTTGTGGTTTTCTTCTTCTTCTTCAAGTAATGAAGTATCTGGGAAACTTGGGTTGCTCTGATATCTGGCGGTCGTAGTCCAACTCCGATATACCATTTGATCTCCTGGGTCCGTTGTGCTGCTCGTGGGTTGCGATTTACGATGTAGCCGTCGTGTCCTGATGTACGGAGGTCAACTGTGCTCCGACCACCCTATCCCACTGTCCTGTTGGCTTTTAATTTTTACACGGACGACGAGTTTCTTCTTGTAATGTCATTGGGTCCATGTTTGCCTTTCCATTTTTTGTACCACTTTATCCAAAAAAAATCTTCGTGGCAGTCCAAGTCCAACCAACATGCACTTCTCTCTTTAAAATGACTTGATGGATTTAGAATATTTTTTTTCTTAAAGTAATTTTAAAAAAATATATGTAAACTATCTTAATTTAATTTTATGAATATTTTAATCTAAAAATTTTTAGATTTCAATAAATATTGAAAAATCACTAAACTAACACCATGAAACTAGTGAAACACTATGAAAGAATATGAAATGCATGAAAAAAAAATTTAATTTAGACCGTTGGATCTTTTATTTACTGTTGATTTGATCACGTTAGGTTTCAGCCGTTGGATTCAATGAATTTAGAAATATAAAATTGAAAAAAAATACACATATATGGTGGGTAAGCCCACTAACCTAGGGGTTTGACCTAAGTTTGTCTCAAATATGAGTTTTGGGTTAAAACTCATATTTGGCCCAAAGGTTGGAGCAAGTTAAAGTGGATTTAGAACCTAAAATTTGAATTTTACTTCAAGAGTTTGAATAGGTCTAATGAGTTTTTTTCCAAAATCCAAAGGACCAAGATTGAATAATACCTAAAATCTTGACCATATTCTTGGCCAATAATATGGGGCGATATGGATGCAACACATTATCATTTTATCGAATGTCTCCGAAGGGACTATGCAATATTGTTATATTTTTACACGAGCAAATAATAATGCAACGAGTATGTCCTTTTGTTTTAGAAAACAAGGAATGTGTTGTTAATTACTGTTAAACAAAACAAGAGACCATGACAACATCTTATTAGGTCATGACGTGAATGGAATGAGATTCAAGCTTGTTTTCCTGTATCACCCTTATAGCGTGACAAGTCTAAGCATGGAGAAAAACAAAGAAAAAGAGATTTACACTATGTTATGTACTTGCAAATTCTTTTTCTCCAGAATAATGCCTATTTTTCTTTGTGTCTCTTGCTCTTTTTTCAGTCACAGAGAAATGAATTTACTTTGTTATTCTAGTAGTAGAGAGAAATGAATTTATCTTGTTATTTATAAGTTTTCTCTCTATATGATAGAGCGATATCAATTTCTCTTACACCTCTCACACGAAAATAATAAACATAAATGAATTTATTCTGTTATATGCAAGTTTTTTTTCTGTCTATAAACTCATCGGTGTTTATTGTCTACACAACAAATTGAGTAAAACAAGAAGCTGGTGTTGGAATTATGTTCATAAATTGAATAATTAAGTTGCATCTTAAAAAGAAACACCACAAGACTGCAACAAAACACAAATGATGGCATCAAATGTGGCTTGTATGGAATATTATTGCACTCATGAAAATAAAAAATGCTCGAGCTTATGCTATAGAAGAACAATTTCAATATGACTTTCTAGGGAGACTTTTTCTTGGGTCACTACCATTTTAGGGAGACTACTAGCAAAATGCCCGCGCGTTGCTGCGGGATTTGAATGCATCAGCCTTAACTACATGAATAAGACACATTTAACCTGAAAAAAATTCAACAAAATCATGAACGAACAAAAGGGATAGAGGAGTGAATGGTGTAGGTAAGATAAGTAGCTTGACTTTTGTATACATTCAACCGAGCTGATTACAAAAGATGTGGTTGCAAAAAATGCTCTGATTCCCTAAGCAACATGCATTTTACACATATATTACCCTTGAAGTTAAGATGGCAAAATATATGTCCTGCAAGCCAATCACCTGTTTTAGCAGTTAAACAAAAAAAAAAACATAAAAAGTGTTTCGTTCCTGTTTCAGCAGCTAAGCAACTAAGTAGAAGAATGTTTGTTCGAGTTGATGCAATGAGAGTTCTCCTTATACGTTAACGCTAAGAAAAATTTAACTGGGTTAGTTTGTTGATATGCAACCCAAAATTAACACTAATAAAAAAAAGCACTTGAATCAAATCCATAAGCAAAAATAGATGTTAAACATGAGAAAAATTACATGGAAAAGAAAACAATGTTAAATATCCTAGGTGCTCCATTTATAATTATTCTCTATTTCTATATATTTAAACTACCAATTATTAGCACAAATATTTCATCTCCTTGCAACTACCACAACTACATATAAAACATACTTGATAGAGCATGTAATTGCTTTAACGTCTTTATCAAAAAATTCGTTGGTTAGGAAATGCAGAGTGTTGCAATGAAAACATGAAGACCGAATACAGGAGTGTGAATTCAGTGTGCCGTATGCTATATCAATGTTAACATTTCATTTTTACTTAAAATAGCCCCAAAGATTATATAATAATATAGAACTCACCAAACCACCAAACCACTTACCCTAACAAAAAAATGCTGAGAATAAACATGTGTCAATATGTAGCTAAAGGGAGACATAAACTGCAAATCAACAGTGACTAAAAACAAAATCTCAGAGACCAAACATACATAAACATGCAGCAAAAAGAAAAAAAATGTCGGAAAAACTAACCTTTAATTGTGATTCTAACGAAAACAGCGAGGTTGATTGAACCTACAGATCATGCGCAACCATCTCCTAAAACCAAAGCAAACGCAAGATAAGCTAAAAATAAATAACTTCATTCAATAAATTCACAAAATTAACTCCAAATCACTAAATTAGCCTCTTGAATTCAGCTAGAGATCTCATTAGGAAGCCCAACATTTTTTTAGAATATGATTAGCATTCTCACCTGTCATTTTCAATGTGAATTTCACACTTGCTTTCGACTCTAGCATTGTCAACCACTTTTGTTCCAAATCTTGTATTCCAGTAACGGGTCCCAACATCTTGCAATTTAATAAAGGAGCATTGTAAGATTGTATAGATGCATAGAACAGATAAAGCTAATGACAGAGAGCTAAGCTAATTCACCTCTTCCAAAAGTCCATGTCTCCACCCAAGCCTAAACATCCCAAAATTGCCCCGATAAGTGTGTTGTCTTGACCTGCAAGATTTATAAAGAAGAAGCAGAGAAATTGATGCATAACCACAGATTAAAAATTGCAGACATAATAAAAGGAACAAATTGAAAACACTAAAAAGAAACAGCCAACTGACATCAGAAACCTTTACCTGTGCTTCCCTTTTACATGCTGCTATAGTGTTTATTTTTCCTTTTCGATTTAGAAATCTGCAATTCTGCTATAGAAAATGAGAGAATTGAATTACATATATTTTAGAATGACATTCCACCCCCTCCTGCCAATATCCTTTTAGAATGACATTCCTACCCATTTGCAAAACAAATTACAAACAAATCATAAGAGTATCTTCATTCATAAAACCTGACTTCTAAACATGTCAATGTCCAAAATTCTCCCATTTTCAACATGCATTTTTCAAGAAGAGACATACACTGGCACACATACAATGAAAATCATATGAAAAAAAGAGCCAAGAAATCACATAAAAGTATCAATCTTTGAAATTTTATTTTCCTTTCCCCCATCACAGCCAAAAAATAAAGGGTAAGTCTACAAATATCAATTTTCATGCCACAAATTTGTGATACATTACAATCTAAAATCACACACATACATCATACATACACATACATCAGAGGAAGGGAAGCAAATATTTTCAACAAACGCGATGTAATTCCTTACCTGAGAAAGGTTTGGCCCGGTGATGTGTACTATCCAAACTTTGCACATCCAGAAAGTGAAAAATATGACCTACCAAGGAAATCAGAGCATGCATGTGTTAGGTTTATCATTTGTCTGTCAAACTGTGCAGTAGAGACCAAAATCAAAGAGATTGGTGTGTTTTACCTTTGAATTTTCCAGTTTCCAGACTGATTTGCAGTGGCGGACTGCATACGAAGTTGCAGGCCTCCTTGATTTTCTTTTCCTTAGCGGGAGAAAATGAGGCTCTGGGTTTATTGGGGAGATGATCGAAGCCTATGGAAAACTTATACAGCTACAAAATGGAAAATTTAAGAATAACAAACAGTATTAGGCATAAAAACAGACTAAAATATAGAATCAATCCAGAAACTGGTAATGCCTTATTCAAGGGTTAAAAGGGGAGTTAAACTGATTGAAATACAAATAGTCACTACTCGTGACATGATTAGGGCTAACGAATATGATCAATCATTCTAACATTCTTCCTAGGTTATCCAATCTAGATGACAAAAATGGCTAATTTTGTTGACCAATTAACTGGATTAGCTAACACTTCCTAAAGAGATATTCTTCATGCTTCACATCTCTTAACTGGACCTGTAATAGAATTCTAGCATAGTATCCCAAATGGTATTGAATTGGATGACGAAAATGTCGAACTTCTAAATAGCTTATCGTATACTTGTGATTTGTGAATGAAGGTTTTGGATTGTTTTGTATTCATGAATAACGATCATATGCTTGATAATTATCATGCTAAGAAATTACCAATCACATATTTAAAATCTAGGCACAAAAGTTTTAGAAAGATAAATAAAAAATCCATATAACTAAATAGGCTTTGAATATGCTATCAGGGCACATGATTATATACCTAAAAATGGCAACGAACCAGCTTCTTCCTCCCACGACCCAACTTTCTGAAATTTCAAAGAAAATAAATCCATTAGAAATTGAGAGAAATTTGGCATATATACAAATCAAAAAGCAGAGGAGCAGAAGGTTCAAATCCTAATTTCAGAAGCATGTTACCTAGGAACATAACATACTAAGCAGCAAACTCTAAGCAAAATTAACTTGTTTAGGGTAATAACACATTATTCATTAAAAGAAATCCTTTTTCGTAGACATGTAACTATAATATTAACAACGATCACGAATACGAATGAAATGTTTACTTTGTTTGAATTAATCCAAAAGACACGATTTTATCATGTCAGACATGCTAATGAAAACCCCTTTTAAAGAAGTCAACATGAAATGCAATCAACTATAAATCCGTGATCAATGTGAACTGAAAAATGAGTAAACCTAGTGACATGCAGGATAGAGACCTAATACTGTTAAATACACTGCAGAAAGTTCGAAAAAAATCTTGTTGCAGGCACAAATCAGTTAAAGAGTTCAAAGATAAGCGAGCTTGCTTAGAAGAGAATTATCTTTACACCCAGAGTACAAAACAAAAGCAAACCAGAATTGTTTTGCTTCTTCAAGCAGTACATAGAAATGCATTTAAGTTAGACCAAATCCAGATTAAAGCAAGTGGTCCAGCAAAAGGATTCTAAAAGATCACCTCAAACCTGATTTCATCATAAACATTATTAATATGACTATAGAATGGAGAAATAATAATACATACTATTCCATTGCCAATGGCTGACGTATTTGATATTAACAGATCTTCGTTTCTTTGAACAGATTTGCGGCTTGCTTGTAAGAGTTTTTGTCCAATGACAATACTTTCTGTAATCAGAACCATATAAATCCACAGAAACTAAAATCAAGAAACGACAACATAAACAAAAAATAAATTTAAAGAGTAAATAGAAGTACAGTTTATAAACTAAACTTTACAAACAAAATGACATTTACAATAAGAAAGAACAAAACAATAAACTCGATCACAATCGAAAGGGGGCAAAGAGTGGCAACCTTGCACAATTCCATATAAGAATACAAACTAAAGGTCATATATCAAACAACTTTGAAATTGAAACATAATATAAAAGTATTTCTTGTACATGCAACCAACAGGCCTCTAGAAAATTAAAGATAAATTGAAAATCAACTGTTCGTATCGAGATGTTCGATCAAATTGAAGAAAATTCACAGCAAAACGGAAAATGAAAATATCAACTCACTGAAAGCCCACAAAAGAAAAACCCAAAAAAACAAAAGAAAAGAAAAGAAGAAGAAAACTGACCTTAAAACAAAGAACAATACACAGAATAGAGAGATGCATCCCCAAAATGAGAGAAAATGACAGAAAATGAAATAAATAAAGGAACCCCCACAACTTGACCTAACAGTGCAACAAAATCCGGAAATAATTCACAGCAAAAGGGCTGAAATGATGACAATCTATGCTAACAGTAAAGAATCCAATAAAAAATGGAACTTAGCTTTCGAAATCTAGCCACTCATCCGACACGCAAAAGGGAGAATAGAGAGAGAGAGAGATCGAAGTACCGTTAGTTAAAGAGTGGACGGCGTCAGTTCTTAGAGCACAGTAATCCTTGAAGATCTCTTCCGCCGTTGGCGGACTCGAACCCATCTCCCTGCTCCTCTCCTTCATCTCATCGAACCTCTCGAGGTACAGAAATGGAGGGCAGTTTGTGTGGTTTTGGTTTTAGGAAGCAGGAGCCGATGCTATTCCAGAGACGGTGTTGTGGCTGCTAGGGTTTGAGTAGGAGCGAGTGAGGAAGAGTGAGAGATGGGAGGAGAGCGCACGCTTCTAACCCAGCAATCCGTGCCAAACCAAACGGACAAAATTACCCTCCCAACCCAGCCCCATCTGCCTGGTATTGTTGTAAATAGCATGAAATCGAGTGGTTCCGTGCTAAACCATTAGGACAAAATCATCCTCTGAACTTTTGAGAATTACCCTCCCAATCCAGCTTAATTTGACTGGCATTTTTGTAAATAGAGTGAAATCGAGTGTCATTTTCTTGACTGTAGCCATGAACAGGCCAATTCCCCTCCAACTTTAGAATAGATAATTTGTGCACGCATGTTTATAAATATATTCTTTTTATACACTGATGTTGATGTAGAAGAAAGGGTTTTGGCTAAACCGCTTGGCAGATCAGTAATAATTAAGTATCCAACTAGTCAATTTGAAATTCTGAATTTCGAAATGATAATTATCATTAGATCATAATAATAACGACATGTTTATAAAACTTTAATCAAAAGATATGTCATAAATATTTTCTCAAGTTGCTCACAATATAGAACCAAAGAGATTCTCTGATCTGTTGAATTAAGCTTTGCTTAGTGGCCAAGTTAGTAAAATTAATGAAAGGACTATCTGGCCAGCTCATTGGATGACAAATCTATGTGCACGTGTACTAATTAAGCAGTCGTAACCAATAGAAAACCTAGTAGGAAATCAAGTATTTTGTTGAAAATTCAAAACCTCTAGATTTTCAAGGGGATGAAAATTCCTTATGTCACGCAGCCAAAAGTAAAACTGGAATCTATAGATTATTGGGAGTCAGAGTTGGTTGCGGTCGAACATTGAGTTGCATCCATGTCATATTGGAAGGAAATCATCGTCATGTTCTCATTGGCATTGTTTGTTTGCACAGAATCAAGGTCAAGAATCGATTCTGTTAATGAGACTCAATAGAAATCGGATGAAGATGTCGTGACTACCTTGAAGAAACGAGAGAGTTTCATGTCTTTGTGACAGGTTTTCTAAACAATACTTCGGAAGGTTGTATTACTAAGGCAGCTCTCACTTTTATTAAACCATGAGGGTCGAGTATGATCAAAATACATAAGAATATCATGCTTTCTGTGAGCGACATCCCTGAACCAAACATTACTTGGAGAACTGTCCAACTTGACCAAAGGTTGTTTGTTCAAAATTTGGCTCTTAATTGGAACGACATACATGGAAATGGTAGAGAAAGTAAGGTATTTGGCCTCCAAAAAGGACTGGGGTTTTAGACCCTCAGGAAATCCCCAAGTAGTGCGGAATAGGATAATCACCGGATTGCTCCCTATAATGTTTTTGTAGATTCTGAAAATTTCATGGAGGTCAATGCACCAGCCAGCCAGTGTGATGGCGAACACGATGAACTAAAGCGAGTTTAATACTCATTCTTGGGACAGTGAATTGGCAAAATTGTTGAATAATCATTTGCTTAGACGTTTAATTATGGTGGATTGTTAAGCATAATTGTGTTGCAGCTGCAAACAATTTGATTAGTGACTCCGATAGAGCGATGTGCATTTCAAATAGGTGATTAACAATCGAACAAAAAAAAAAAAAAAAAGGGTTAAAAACATTCACTCCTGCACACAATGTCTTGTATTCGAAGTGTTGCTTGTATCCTAAACAAAAAACAGACCTAGGATCATTATGAAAAGGTTTTGGAACTTAAAACAGATTATCATCCATAGCAGTTGACCAACCTGAGAAAAATATGTGATGGGCCTCATGATTGAAAAAGCCCAAAAGAAGAAAAAAATGATTATGCATAAATAATTTCCGTTGCATATGAACTTCATATTCAAATGATTAATTGTGTTTTGTTTTAGTGTATCCTCGTTCTACTAGAATGATGATTATTAATTCTCTGATCTTGGAATGTGAGTAGTTTGATTCTAAACTCGTGTGAATGTGATTTCTATTCTTAAAAACATCATGTAAGTACTTTATTAGAGAAAATTACGAGTTTAAATTTCACTTATTTGCTTCGATGAAAAAGAAGTTTTATATAAAACGTCATAAGATAATACAAAATGTTTTTGACACGTTGTGAAATGGACATTGAATATCTTCGAAAATTTAGACATGTTTATATAATTTTAGTAAAGTTAAGCAAGCCAAAGCTAAAAATAAAAATTCTCTGACGGGGGTGCCCCGATAGACCCGACAGCGGTCGCAGCAGCTGAGCGACAAACCAATCAATCTCTTCCACAAAACACTTAAAAGGCAAACCTTCACTTGCACTAGTGCTTTTCCTGTCGTTGTACGGGACTTAAAATTATCAGATATTTTCAGATTCCACTCTTCTTCTACTCCTCTCGCGCTCCGCAACTGCAACTGCAACTGCAAGGACCCAGCTTTCAGCTTTAGAGATGTACGCGTCCGAGGCGTTGGGGAAATTCTCAGTTTTCAGAGAGACCCCTGTTTCAATGGTGGCTTCCAGCTCTCTCAGAACCCCGTTTCGAATCCGACCCATGTCCCAGAACTTCATCAGCAGCAAGAATTTGCTCCGGAATCATGGAATGACGTGCAACTGCAGCAGCGGCGGTGGCGGCGTTGACGAGAAGTCAGCGTTTTCGTTGACTTCGTCGAGCAAGTACGAAGTGGATTACTTGGGAGAGAAAACCAAAGGGGATTTGAATGTGAAGATGGAGCATCTCCAAGCTTTTGGTAACTTTTTATTATTCCCCTATCCAAATTCCAGTTCACTCTTTCAATTTTCCCACTTGTGAAACTGCAACTGCATTAGCCTGCAATGTGTAAAGTTTTGATCTTTTTTCGAAAACCCGCGTAGGAATTGATGGTGATGTAACTTTGAAAGGGCCGATTGAGGAAGTTGCCAGAGTGGAGGCTGAAGAAGCTGGAGACTTGCTCAGAGACTTGGGTATTCGGGTGCTGTTATTTAATCTTTTTGTTGCATACATTTGTTTTCAAGTGACAATTTTCGATTTTCGCACTATAGTTTTAGCCATCTGCACCCCAAATTGAATAGCTTACAATGTTTGAATGAGTGTTTAATTTACCGGTCTTGTTCCAGTGAATGTCGCACTGATCATTTGCTTATGGTGGTACTTGTGCATCGAACTTACCAGAACTTTTATGTGCAGAGCCCTTTTTCATCGAGGCAGTCACCTCGTGGCATTTTCTGTAGCCGCACGTTGAATCTCCGATCAATCAGTGCCATCGGATATGATATGGACTACACCTTGATGCATTATAACGTGATTGTAAGTTTCCTCAGTTTCTGTTTTTGTATAATTTTGCATTGGCAGTGTTGGAGCCAGAGTGCATTAGTAACCATTACTATTCTGGTTACTGCTGGTGCTGGAGGAGGTGGAATTGAGGATTGTCTGACATGGATTTGTATCTTGCAGGCTTGGGAAGGAAGAGCTTATGATTACTGTATGGAAAATTTGAAGAAAGTGGGCTTCCCTGTTGACGGTCTTGCATTTGACCCTGACTTGGTACCATCTATAAACTTGGTGAAAATTTAACGAGTATTTACATTTATGCAAGCCAGCAGATCTTCAATTTACTATTTTCTTCCCCACCTTTGCTCTATCTTTTCATATAGGTTATTAGAGGCCTCGTCATAGACAAAGAGAACGGAAACTTGGTGAAGGCTGATCGATTTGGTTATGTTAAGAGGGCTATGCATGGCACATCCATGCTGTCTAATCGAGCTATAAGGTACACTTGGAACCTTTTATTCTGATTATAGAGAAACAATGGAGAATGTGACTCACGTATAGTGTCAGCCCATGGATTTATGTTTAGTCTCGCACTGCAAATGCAAATTCAGTTTTCTTTTCTGTTATAACTAACAATAAGATTTTCCAAATGAATGTAACTATATATCATATGTATACTTGGTCTGCCCTTGTATTGTAACTTTGCGTATGCGGCTAGGTTCATCAAGCATGTAGCTCCTTAGAATATCATTTTGGGAAAAAGCTGGAGTAGTATATTCTATAGTGTGGCCTAACTTCCTTTCCATTGAAGTGAGATGTACGGGAGGGAACTGGTGGACCTCCGGAAGGAAACTCGGTGGGAATTCCTTAATACACTGTTCTCTGTCTCAGAAGCTGTGGCTTATATGCAGGTATTGGTGTTGTTTTAGCTAGATCACTTTTTTACACAACTGACTCATTTTGTTGCTATCATTTTGCAGATTTTACTTATGTAGATATTGACTCTTCATTTTTTCAGATGGTTGACAGATTGGATGATGGAACCATAGCCGCAGAACTTGGTCCACTTGATTATAAAGGGCTCTATAAGGCAATATGCTCTGCCTCAATTTTGTAGAGCTCTGGCATTGGTTTTTTCTTGCTCCTTTTTAACTCTTGACATGATTTCAGGCTGTTGGAACAGCCCTCTTCTGGGCACATGTCGAGGGTCAACTAAAGGTTAATATATTTGTATGTTTAGTATTTGTTTATTGAATAAGAATCAGATATGGGTTTGTGAACATGAACTGATTTTGGCATATATGCAGAGCGAGATAATGTCTAAGCCCGAACTGTTTGTGGCACCTGATCCAGAACTGCCACTAGCGCTTTTGGATCAAAAAGAGGTATGTCTTATAGCATCTCATCTTTGCATAGCCTGTGGCTATTATTTAACTCCTAATTTACTTGGACTTATTTGTGCATTAGGCTGGTAAAAAGCTTCTGCTCATT